CAATGAATATATATATGTTCATGTATAACTGAAAAATTGTTCTCTGCACTGGAATTTGACACAACATTGTAAAATTACTGTAACTCAATAAAAAATGTTTAAAAAATAAAATAAAATAAAATAAAATAAAATAAAATAAAATAAAATGTCTTTTTAACATTCGGTCAACTATATTCAGAACAGACTTTGGTGAAAACTCAGACTGCCTTTTATCAGTACCCTGACTTTCCACCTCCTCGGCACATGGAGGGAAGCAGCAGCAGAGAACAGCAAGGAGTGTTCTCTCCACTGTGCAGCTGGGCTTCTGACGCTGTGACTTGAACTTAGTGTTTTCTGCCTCTCAACACTCCTGAGTCACCTCTCCTGCTCTCGCTGTGCACCTTCTGCTTTTCGCCGGCATGCTGGTCCCACAGAGGTAACCTCCTTTGTCCCCTAAGCGAACATGGGCACTGCTACAACTCTGTCACCTGGTGGCCCAGCCACACCCTCACCCACACATATCATCACTTCTCCATGATTTCAAACATGAAGCTCTTCATCTCTGACTCCATATTCCTTTGCCTCCTACCCTTCTCTCACTCATATTTACCTCCTTTCACCCTAATCTGGTCCCCAAGAGTTTAGTTCCCTCCACGCTCTCAGCCAAGGAGGAGAACAGATTCAGCATCAACAGGTAGACTGTCCAGGATCCTAGGAGCAGAGATCTTGTTCAGAGACACCTGGGCTGACTCTGCCTTCACCTACTTCCCTTCTTCTCTACTCCCTGTCTCCTCCCCCTCAAATCTGGATCAAAAAGAAGAGCCAGACATTTTTAACTGTCCCCTTGTTAGTATAAGGTCTTCTTTAACAGTGACATATACCTCAGTGCAAAATGGCAATGGAATAGGAAAACTGTGGCTATTTTCTCAGCTGTGGCAGGATATTAGCTGAGGAGAGGGTGTCACTGTTAGCTGCATGCACTGTCGGGAGTTCAGGGGCCAGGCAGAGCTATACTACGATATGCTGCATCTGCTCCTGATCTGTGTGGCCAACTCATTTTCCATTAGATTCTCTAGATTCTTGTGTACACAGATTGAAAAGATACAGAAGGTGTATATGTGTGTGTGTGTGTGTATGAACACACGTACGTGCCTCACATGTGCTTGCTTCCAGCCAATCTGTAACCCATCACTTCAGGTTTTACTTTCCCCCATACCCACCCTGGGATGGTGGACCATGGCACTGCTTCTCTCTCCAGCATTTTACTAAACTTCTCTATACTTTTGACTTTATGTATAATTTTTAGTTACTCTACAATGATCTTTAGGGGTAAAAGTAATAGAATTATTATACAGACAGGCTTATTACAAATTCATGCCCTCCTACTTCGACTGGGCCCTCTGAGCTACATAGTCACTCGTACATTCTTTCCTCATTGGTGGTCCTTTGTCTTCCCCAGAGTGATACCCCTCTTCACAGGTCACTCTTACCTTCTACCTCGCTCACAGAACCTCGTCCTCCTCTCTCTAAAACAGCCAGGGCCATTCAGAAGCTCCTTTATCTCACTTTTTGCTCCTGAAAATTCTACGCACCTCATTTACCTTGAGGGAAGTTGATGCCAATCTCCCTTTCTCAAAATTATTCCTCTATCTGGTTTCTTTATCCCATTCCCTCCTCTTTCTCCAGGGTCTTCTGTTTTTCACATTACTCTTTCATATCTTTCATCTCTTTTTTCTGCACTGCTCTTTCTTCTCAGACTATAAACACACCAAGTCTTCTCATCTTAAATAAGTAAATGAAACAAAAGTTTCCCCTTAGCAACAAAGAAATAATAGCAGATTGTAGCTTCAAAAACTTACGGTTCCATTGTAAAGACAAGTATCCACTAGCTTTGTGTAGAAACTTCCTTTCATTTCCAAATTCCATGCCTATCCTATGGAGTAACTGCCTAACTGGCTTCCCTGCCTCCAATCTCTCCCTCTTTCAATCCAACTAACACCTTGCTGCCACATGCACCCTCCTAAAATACAGTGTGTGTGTGTGTGTGTGTGTGACTTCCCTTACAGGATCAAGCACAAATTCTTTAGTCTGGAATTACGAGCATTTATAACCTGCCTCTCCTCCCCGCTGAAAAACTTTCTTCACTTGATTTCCACATGAATCTTCCACTCAACCCAACTGGACTTGAACATGTCATGTGCAGTACCTCCTCTGCATCCCTCCTGGAATAGGCCCCCTGCTTCTCACTCCACCACCACTTCCCTAAGCCCTGTGCTTCCTACAAGCGCAGCTCAATTTCCTCCTCCTTCGAGAGGCTTCCCCCAATAGAACCAACTCTTTGGGGACCACCATCCCTCAAACACACAATATTTAACATCTGAGTTAAATGAGTTCATTTGGTGTTCAGCACTAGAGTTTGCCACTTAGCATTGGCATTTATTGGCTGAGTATAAGTCCCTGCAGCAAGAACATATTATATTACACCTTTTTATATCCCTCTTTTTAATTAGCATTTAATTTTGTTATAATAAAAACAAATCTGGCTAGGTATACAGCTTTGGAGAGAGGGTCTCTAAAAACTAACAAAGTAAATTTCTAAGGTTTATAACAGATGAAGAGTTGAAAAGAAAAGCATATTGGTTATTTTTTTCTATTATACCTGGTAGAGGTTGATGTTGCTATAAATGCTCTCCCAGATTTGGTCGTAGTTGCCCTGATGCAAACCCTGGGAAGCCACAAATGTTGCACGAGATGAAGCCAGTGAGACTGTCTTTGCAGCATGATCTTGGAGCACTTGCATTACTCGCTCAGGGTTGGCAATCTCAAGTAGAACAGAGAGGAGAAGCAATGGTTGGAAGAAGGGTCATTTCTCTCTTTTCAGCAAGAATTAGATCATGTACACACAAATAAGAAAAAAGTCCCAGGTGGGATTTAACTTAATTAAAAAATAAAATCTAGCTCAAACATCATGATTCCCTTAGGTGTGTTCATCCATTCAACACTGTATAAGTATTCAAATATACACAGCAGCTTATTTTAAATCCTGTGACAACCTTCTAAACACAATAGCAGGTGGCCCTGCACACAGAATGAGGAGTTATTGTTTAATGGGTAAAGAGTTTCCATTTGACGAATATAAAGAGTCCTGGGGGTGAATGGTGGTGATGGCTCGCACAACAGCATGGATGTACTTAATACGACTGAACTGTACACTTAAAAATGGTTAAAATGATAAATTTCATCTTATGTATATTTCACCACAATTTTAAAAGAGAGAGAATGAGGAAAAGAATATAATATAAAGAGATCCTATGTACCCCTGACTCCATTTCCCCCAGTGTTAACATCTTGCAAAACTATAGAATAGTATCACAACCTGGATATTGACATTGATACAGTCAAGATATAGAACAGACTTATCACTACAAGGACCCTTCATGTTGCCCTTTTATAGTTTCACTACCTTCCCTCCCCTACCAGTCTCTCTTAAACACCTGGAATCTATGAATCAGTTCTCCATTTCTATACTTTTGTCATTTCAAGAGTGTTGTATAAATGGACTCTTACAGTCTTTATTGGATTGACTTTTTTCACTCATGCAGTTCTCTGGAGATTCATCCAGGTTCTTGGATATACCACTAGTTTGTTCCTTTTTATAGCTGATTGGTATTTCATGGTATGGATATACTACTGTTCGTTTATTCACCCACTGAAGGATATCTGGATTGTTTCTAGTTTGGGGCTATTGTGAATAAAACTGATATAAGTGTTCATGAAAAAAAGGGAGAACAACAAATTTCTACTGAATAGCACAGGAAACCATATTCAATATCTTGTAGTAACTTATGGCGAAAAAAATATGAAAACAAATATGCATGTTCCTATATGACTGAAGTATTGTGCTGTATACCAGAAATTGATACAACATTGTAAATTGACTATACTTCAATAAAATATATATATGGGGAAGGAAATCTGGTCACATGTTACAACATGGATGAACCTTGAGGACATTACCCTGAGTGAAATAAGCCAGTTACAAAAATACAAATACTGTATGATTCTACTTATATGAGATATCTAAGAGCAGTCTAATTCAGAAACAGAAAGTAGAATGGTGATTGCTAGGGACAGGGAGGAGGAGGAGGAAACAGCAAGTTATTTAATAGGTATAGAGTTTCAGTTTTGTAAGATGAAACAGTTCTGGAGATTTGTCTCGCAACAATGTGAATATACTAAACACTACTGAACTGTACCCTTAAAAACGGTTAAGATGATAAATTTTATGCAATGTGGATTTTTTTAAACCACAATAAAAATAAGATAATTTAGTCTAACATTTTACTCTCACAGATGAGGAAACTAAAACTCAAGGAAGTTCTATGATTAGCCCAGTATCACACAGAGACAGTGCTAAAGCTGAACTCAAATCCTGCTCTTTTGACAACTGTTACTCTCTGAAAGCTAACAGAATTATAAAAGTTTGGCAATTAGATTTAGAAGTTCCAAATAAAGCCTTCATAGTGAATCCATGGCTAACGTTTTTTATAAGGAGATAAAAATTCAATTTTCTGAGAACAGAATTTTATCTACAAGAGAACATGGATACTTTTTTACCTTCAAAATTTTTGCTTGGAGTTGCATTAATACATCTATTCTTCTCCGTTCTTTCAGTTTGGTCAAAAGTTTCTTTTGCCAAGGATCACATTTTGGCTTAATCTAGTGGACAAACATGTTTACACAAAGTTGCAACATAACAGGATGGTTCTCAATAAAAGTTGCAAGCAAAGAGATTCAAGGACCTGTTGAAATGGGACCTGGCCTCGGTGCTAGGAAGTTTGTTAGAGCATGTGAAGTCTTGGAAAGGGTCTGTGTGGGCTCACAGATGCGTGTAGGGAGATGGCAGCAGTAGTTCCTGTTGGTACCTGACCTGTTAAGAAGCAGTAGCTCCATCTGTGATGAAACACCACCACCCATTGGCAGAAGGGACCCTAAATCCATCAGTACTTGGCATTGCACTTCAGTTATAGGGCAAGAGAAGTTTGCCCACAAAGACTCTTTGAGGCTCCAGGTGTAAAACTTCATCTTTCATATTAACAAGTTATATTTCAAAAATTAGTTCTACGGTTATTAATACATTAACATACTGATAACACTCAAATTTATATCTAGCTCTAAGCTCCAGCCTGTTATATTCAACTATCTCCTTGATATTTCTATTTGAATGGCCAGTATAAGAATCTAAAACAAAAAGTCTGGCTTCCCCTACAGCAACCACCTATTTGCTCAAGCCTCAGGCTTAGGAATAATTTGTGACTTCTCTGCTTTCCTTCCATCCATCTTTATCAAATAAGTTTTTTTCCTTCATGATACAGTTGATCCTCTTTATTCATGGATTTTGTATTTGCAAATTTGCCTCCTCACTAAAATTTATTCATAACCCCCATATCAGCACAGCAGAGCTTTCCTGGACATTCATGGACATGCACAGAATAGAGAAATATCTGACTCACCCAACCCCATATTCCCAGCTGAAGTCAAACAAGGTGACATTTGCCTTCTCGTTTCAGCTCATACTGTAAACAAGTTTCCTTTTTATGTTCTAGTTAGTGCCATGTTTTTATACTTTTGTGCTTTTTGTTGGTGATTTCACTGTTTAAATTAGCCCCCAAGCATAGAACTGAAGTGTTGTCTAGTGCTCCTAAGTACAGGAAGGCTGTGATGTGTCTTCTAGAAGAAGGACATGTGTGCAATAAGCTTCATTCAGGCATGAGTTACAGTGCTGTTGGCCATGAGTTTGATGTTAATGAATCAACAACATATATTAAATAATGTCTTTAAAGGGAAACACACATAAAACTAGGTTATGTATTGATTAATTGATGAGCCTAACCCTGTATTTCCCCTGAGTAATGGTTCAGGATTTGTTACTTCAGTGTTCGGGGTAACTTTACAGAACATAACCACCTCCAAATAATGAGAATCAGCTCATCACTTACCACTACCTAAAATCGTCCCGTTTAATCTGCTTACTTCTATGTTGTTTGTGAACTGTGTATTTCCAGAACCAAGGGCCATTCCTGACACACAGGATGAGCTCTATAAGTAGTTTCTGACTGAAAAGGTGGATTTACACAACTCAATTATACCTTTGAGTGTTATTCTTTGTTCTTGCCAAGTAGCCAAGGTCATTAACAACAAGAAGGGAGTTCTGACCCAATAGAGAAGGACACGGGAGATGGGGGAACTTCCAGAGAAGGCAAATCGGTATGGTTAACTCCAACGCAGAGCAGATGCAGGAAGGAGCTGGGAGATGCTGGTGCACAAGGCCAGATTCTCTGAGCTACCTCTCCTGAGTCGGGCAGGCACCTATCTGTGGTCCTAGGGGACAGTCTGCTGAGGGAATTGAGGAGAGAGGACAATAGGGACCTGACAGACCTGATGCTGTTAGGTTGCTTGGCCTGCTTGGAGGATACTCTGTGACACCGCTGACATCATTCACAGGTGACCATCACCACGGATCTCCTTACCTTTATAAAGGAAATCCAGTTGGCTCTCTTTTTCAAGGCCATGACAGGTCCTGCCAAACCCAAATTCTCCGCCTTCGCTATCCCAGCATCATAGTCTGGAAACGTTTGCATTCTCTGCTGCTCCTTGAAGATGCTTTGAAATTTTTGGGAAACCTAAACAGGATTGAGAAGAGAGAAGCAGAGCCCAGGGTGGAAAAAGTCTCAGATTTTAGGTAATTTCAGAAACAGCTACTGATTGCCTATGAAACCGTCCTGGAGTCAAACTAATTCATTAAACATGACTCTGTGACAGTAGCAGGACCTTGAATGTATATACCTCTGGGTCACATGTATTCAGTCATCTCATTAACATAATTGTGTGTGTTACTTGTTCTGAATATCTGCTCCAAAAATCGGAAATAATGTCATATATTTATTTATATGTACTTTGAGCTGGACCCTGAATGGGAAGTAAATTGTCCACCTTTGGAAATACATTCCCTTTTTCTGGCCACCTGATAAGCAAGAACATCTAAGGGTGAGATGAATCCTGCTCCCAGAAGCCTGACCACGATATTGCTAGAGACAAGGGTCCAGATGCTAAGACTTGTTAAAACCCTTTATGGTTCCTCAGCCAATCCCCTCACATCTCACTTCCAGACTGAGGCTACCAGTGCTTTCTGTGACATAACTTCCTACTGCCGAGATGCAGATCACTTCTTCCTCCCTCCTCCAGAGGGGACCCAGGCCTACTGAGCCTGTGGGAGTGCCTTCATCATTGCACTGGCCACACTGCGTCATGACTTCCTCAGTACATGGTGAGCTTTTTGAGGGTACAGGCTATGAATCTCATGAATCCACCACATGGTGATGGTTGCACAACACTGTGGATGTACTTACTGCCACTGAACTGTACACTTAGAATTGGTTAAAATGGTATATCTTATGTTATGTATATTTTATGACACACACACACACATACAGAGCCAACCACAGTGCTGGCACATACTAGGGTCTCAACAAAGTTTTCTGGAATGAATGAGCAAGTTCAGTGCGTCACAGAGCTAAAGATTCTGGTAACTCCCAGGCTGTGCTGTCCAATACTGTTGTCCCTAGCCACATGTACCTGTTTCATATTTAAATGTACAGTCACTAAAATTAAATAAAATTTAAAATTTAGTTCCTCAGTTACACTATCCACATTTCAAGTGCTCGATAGCCACATGTGACTGGTGGTTCCATACTGGACTGCACAGATGCAGATTATACCCATCAGTGCAGGGAGTTCAATGAGCCAGCGCTAGACTAGGGCTAGGGTGGCAAACTTATTCTTAAAGGGCCAGATAGTAAATATTTTAGCCTTCGCAGACCACGTAGTCTCTGTTGCAACTACTCAACTCAGGTTGTAGTGTGAAAGCAACCACGGACAGTGCATAAATGAATGGGCATGCTGTATTTCAATAAAATTGTATTAAAAAAAAAAACACGTGGTGGGCTGCAGGCTGTTGTTTGCTGACCCTTCTCTAAGGCATTAGAGAGCCAGAATAAACAGTACTCAAATAAAGGAATTCTTCCTACATCCACAAAAAAATTGTTGTAATGTGATCAAATATTTTGGGAGCACATTTAACATTGCATGTAATACTGTTATATGAAAATCAAAAGTGGGAACTATTTCTATATAAAGAAGACAAGCTGTCCTTTGGGGACAAGGCTGCTCTGTGGGAGTGCTCCGTAGCTTCATGTTCTTTTGTTATCACTGACGATAGCCTAGCATGCCACGACTTATTTTTCTTTACTTGGACTTTTTCTAAACACCATCTCGTCCTGATTCTGGTTTTTGTCTATCATAATACTAGCTGATAATGAGGGTGAGGATACTCCCTCAGAAGCACTCTCTGCTGAAGACAGTGCTGCTATGACTTGAAAAGAAAGACAAAAGCTAGACATCATCACCTTCAAAGAAACCAGAGGGCACGGAATACCTCTGGTTCCAGTGAACTTAAAGAATATGGGTTACCTACTAATAGAAATAGTCCTAGAAAAATAATGCTGGAACAAATACTCATGGAAGCAAAACTTCAAGGTCAAGGCAAACAATGACAGAGGAAAACAGTGGCTCCTTTTTACACACAGAGTTTTCAAAAACATTCAGATTTGATCATTGCCTTTTTGGATCAATCAACTTATTATTTTTACCTAGCAAATACATATACTTACAAATATTATATACCCAGAGCTAGAAATACCTTTATTGTTGAAACTGTGGCTGAAAACTTTATTATCATAAATTTGAAGTTGTCTGCACATAATTCTATTTTCCCCTTTGAAATAAGTTTTAGCATGGATTCTGATAATATGATTTTCAAAAGAGGTGCAACACTATGTTATAGCAGAGAAGGCTACATGACTTTAAAAGTCACTACACAAGAGATGGAGGGGGCTGTCCCCTAAGCACTATCCTAGCTCCTAGCAATGGCTGTCCACTTAAGAGATGGAGATGGTGCAAATGAGAACACGACATGGTGACCTCTGAATGCAGCTTAAGAAGATCCCTGAGGCATGTGAAGTGGGAGCAGAGGCCTATATGAGATCAAAAGGAACCTCCAAGCCCAAGTGTAGAAGTCAGCAAAGCTGTATTCCCAAGCATCTGGCCCCTGAGTGCTAAGCCAGAGACTAACTGTGGCTATTATTTATTAATTGATGTGCCCTCCAGACTGAGGAGAATGTTCTGGGTACTATCACTGATAACAATTAAAATCATAAGTCCACATGTATACAAAGAAAATCACTATACAATATACACTCTATTGAATATAAAGCATTTTGTCAACAGGAGAGCTATTGGAACACTCTCTGAGAATCCAATTGCTTCAGACACTAAACACCATGCAAATCTGCCAAATCTTGGCTATGTTTCCATCATATATTATGGACTATAATCTACCATTTTCTTCAAATTATGCAGAAAAATAATCCTACTATCCCTCTGGATTGGATATTCAAGAGCCCCATAACTCTTACAGAGAAAAAGTTCAACTGCTAGTCTAACTCTCCGTGTTACTATTATATTTTATCACTCTAGAAACAATTCTGGCAGTATAAATATCCAACTTTGTGGCAAATACTAGTATTTTCTTTTATGAACACCTATATTTCCATTAAGAAAGAATTCATCAAGTACCAAGAAAAGAAGTTCTATTTCCTTAGCAGCATCTCCTAGCTCTTCTACGTCGTAGGGGATGTTGAAATGGGAGAGCAGGAGCCTCAGCTGAGGTTTCAGTTCTTCTGTTTCTGTTATGTGCTGGGGCAGGACAAAAGCAGCTTCTGTTCTTGCTGGCCCTGAAAAAATTCCCAAATCAAGAGCATTAACACCAACGAACACCAGTCAGGGTGAGAAAAGGAGGGTCCTTTGAGATAACTGGAGGCAGGGCCTCTTCTGCTCTGTGCCCAACCTTCTCTACCACAATGTGTAGACTGCACTGGACTCAGCCAGGCCTGTCTGACAAACTCCTGGTGCTGGCTTTCTGGGGTGGTAGCCAGGGCTCCCCTTTCTCAAAGCCTGCAGGAGAAACCCAACAGACCCTTTGGGGAATGACTTAGTGGGAGTAGAACTACCTAGAGTCCTTTATGATAAGTAAAGAATATGATTTATAAATTAACAAATGAGAAGAAGCTGAGAACTATCACCTCCTTTCACCTGGCTCACTCCAACTCATCTCTAAACACCCAGTTTGGACGATCCCTTTTGAGACACCATCTCTGATTCCCCACAGCTAGGTTGGCTGCCTCTCCAGGTGTACTTGGTAAATACATCACTCAGTAAAAACCTGATCAGACTTCTTAGTCATCTATAACACACGGTAAGGGCAGGAAGACTATTAAATTGATTCAGATAAAGAAAGTCTTTTAAAATATGTAATATTAAAAATGAAAGAGATCTTAGAAATCACTTAATCTGAAAAATTTATTTTGGAAATGATTAAATTGAGGCCCAAGGAGATGAAATGATGTAAACAGTGAGGCCACAAAAAAATATGACCAGAGCTCAGAATTCCTGATTTCAAATTCATTGCTTTTTTCCTCTTTCTTAATTGTCTAGTTACAAAGATGGAGGTAATACTGTCTAAGAAAAGTGTTCATTATTTTTTTCCATCAGAAAATATTACATTGACATTTGTTTATTAAGACGATAAAACTTTTTGGTATAAAGAAAAATTCAAGCAAGATCAGGTGACAAAACAGCACACATGCACAATCACAATCTTTTCTCCCCATCACCCTGGGGAAAAGACAACTTCTTACCTGAAATGCTGGTATTCACAGAGCCTAGAGATGCAGAACCATGGATGTCAGGGTCAGCGTCATCAACAGGGACCTTTTCATTTTCTTGAACAACCTCAGGGGCTTTGTTGACAGCTACACTCAGCACTTTGGAGATGGGCAAATACTGGAGGGCCTAGAGAAGGGCACAACCAAGAGGCCACATATCAACTCAGTTCTCAGAGAAGCTTCCAGATTGTGGTTCCGGAGTAGCGCTTCACTTTGAAAGAGGAGGAAAGAGGTAGAGTGGGCCTCAGTGACCTGCCCAATCATGAGAGGCTAGATCTGGAGCTGGGAGACCTGGTCTATCACCAACTCAAAGTGACCTTAACCTCTAGGCAGGTCTATATTGATTAACCACCCACAATGGACAAGGTTCTGTGTGAGGTGCTAGGGATTCAAAGATGAATAAGACATGGACCAATCTCATAGAGTTCAGAATTTAGTGGGGGACTTGGACCTATGAGCAGATCATTATTAAACCATGAGAGGCAGGGAGAGATGATTCAGAGGCACACCCCATCATGACTGAAGGGATGATGTCATGATGATAGCCAGGTTTCATGGTTGGTGGTATCACCGAGATAAGGTGCAAAAGAGTAAGAAAAGATTAGGTGGCAAAATAAAAATAATTCTAAAATGGAAATGAGATCATGTCACTCTTTTCTGATGCCTCAAGCCTGAGTTAGGGCTTCTCCTCTACGACTGTCTTTACTCTATGATCATACTTATTCTGTTCTTTCTTATCACATTGCATTTCGGTTGACTATTTATTTGCCCATTTTCCTACCATCCTGGGACACACTTCCTTTCAGCAATTATATATTCCCTACATGGACCCAGGACATGTATCTGGCATAGATTAGACCCTCATTAGATGTTGCTGAATAAAAAAGGATCTACACAACATTGTAAACTGACTATACTTCAATTAAAAATATATATATATATATATTTAAAAAGTGGATCTACATTGTAGAGCATAAATACAGAACAAGAGAATGAAAATGAGAACTTGTAAAGTGAATATGAGCTAGGACAACAGAGGTATCTTTGAGAAAGCTAAATTAATGGAGTCATTTCACTAGAGCAAGTTTCCCCAAAAAACAAAAAGTTTCAAAGGTCTCAAAGGAAAAAGCTAGTGACCCTTTATTTTCCCACCATTTGTAGGGCAGATGGAATACAGAAACTGACAATCCAAAACTAGGTGACAGGTGTGAGAAAACGATGTGCTGACCATCCTGGGAAGGCACCGCATCATCACACGACTATGTTGCACATACCTGCAGGTAGTGGTGAATAGTCTCGAGTGAGTGTAGGTGACACACTAACCAATTTGTGTAAATAGTCAGGTCTTCCTGTGTCACTAAGTTAGGAGGATTCTTTTTTCCCATAAGGAAGTTTTCTCGTGCAACAGACAATCTATCCGCTCTCTGAAGGGCATCATTGTATTCTTGCATAATGTAGGCAACTTGTTTCTGGTTAAGAGAGATGCAAAAACAGAACTTGGTTATTTGCAAGCCTTATTCCTTTGAGTTATTTGCTTCCAAACATAGTGTAATGTTGTTTGGGAACCAAATAAGAGGCTCTTGGAATATCAAAATTCTCCCATATTCTGAATTTGACTGACGGGGCAGTGATCACATTCTTAGGAGTCTGAAGGAGAGTGACCTAGCAAAGAGTCAGTGCCTAAGGATATTTAGTAACTGGAGTTGCTGGTTAGCCTTTTACCCACAGCAGAGGAGGCCAGGGCTATGAAGAAAAATGCATTTTCTATCATATAAGCATCCTACAAATCTCATTCTTAAAAACTGGTACCATTATCTTCTGCCACAGGCAGCACTGGCAAGTAAGGGCATCTATTAGTTCTTTTCCTGTCTTGAACTATGACCTTAAAAAAATGGACAATTACATTGTTTGTGGGAATGTAAACTGGTACATCTATTATGAAAATAGTATGGAAATTCCTCAAAAAATTAAAAATAGAACTACCATATGATCCAGCAATCCCACTTCCGGGCATATATCTAAAGGAAACAAAATCAGTATCTTGAGCTATCTGGATTTCCATGTTCCATTGTAGCATTATTCACAATGTCATGATATGAAAATCTAAGAGTTTGTTGATAGATAAATGGATAAAGAAGATGTACTTTTGTAAAATGGAATATTATTCAGCCATGATGAACAGGAATCTAATATTTGCAACAACATGAATAAACCTGGAGAACCATTATACTACATGAAATAAGACAGACAGAAAAAAAAAGACAAATACTGTATGGTATCACTTATATGTGGAATCTTTAAAAAAAGGTCAAACTCATAGAAGCAGAGAATGAAACAGTGGTTTCATTCAATGAAACAGGGACTATGGGGCTGGGGGAAAAGGGGAGATGGCCAAAGGGTACAAATTTGCAGTTAGGTAGGATGAATAATAAGTCTAGGGGTCTAATGTACCAGTAGGATAACTATATTTAATAACAGTGAATTAAGAAGCCTAGTGACCGTTCTGTTTCATTATGAAAAATAGCCCACAGATCCTGTTCATTGGCTTCCTACCTTGTAAAGAGGATAAAGCTGCTCCATGATCTTACTGTGCTGACAAAACCTCTTCCACCTAAGCATGTGTAAATATTTACTCTGGGCCAGCTGGGTAATTCTCTCTGTAAAATACTTTAATAAAAATAACAAAAATCAACACTTAGAATACAATTATAATAGGAAGACTGGATTAAGTCTTAAAAACACTAACAATAGGAAAATAAGTAGCTGTTTTGGAAAGACGTATTTTCTACATGAAGATCACAAAATTAAGAAACTGGCTCAACATACCATTCAAATTTAAATAACGCAAGTAGGCATGTATAAATCTGCATGATCTGTTGCCAATCTAACAGATTGTAGTTTCATTTATCAGCTGGTCAACAATTCTAGCAGTGACATAAAAACCTGTAAAACTGTCTAAAGTTGAGCTTAAAAGTTTTTAAAAACTGAAGTTATGAGTCTAAAATACAAAGCATATTACAGGTAAGATTATAGCTTTTAACCTTAGACCAGAAATTTTTTTATACTTAAAAGTAGTCAAATAAGCCAACTCATTGGATATTTTATTTCTGATAAAAATAATATTGGCTATGATGGAATAAGTATGACCAGACTTACCCTTCCATCACAAACAACTAGAAAATAAGACAAATACACAAGGCAACTGTTTTCTGACTTGGGACAACAGGCATGGCAGGATTATTATCCTTGAGAGAAAGGAAATAAATACAGTGAGTCCTGCAATCACCCTGGTTTTCTGCCTGAAGAATGCAGTTTCTTAACCATGGAGTAGAAAAGCAAAGCACGATGGCCTCTCTGAGTTATGTAGACAGAAAGCAAAGTTTGGGAAGCTGAGTCAGCTGGAGTTTGCAGGGCAGAGTATTGGAGAGGAGAAAGTCATGGAGAAAAAAGGGCACCAGAAGTCTGCATAGAGATCCCTTGAGTTTTTTGCTGACTATTAAGCCCTGCGTACAGAGGGTGAATCTCCATGAGGCTGTGCAAAGAATAACTAACTAGAAAACTAAACCAAACAGTTCTCAGCGTTCATAGGGCTAGGAGATGTTCAAGTTCCAATCAGACAGAGTGAAGAGTCCTCACTGAACTCCTGGGGCATTCAGCAGAGACATGAGAGAGGTCAAAATTTAGTAAAGGAGAATAAACTATCTCTAGAGTAAAGGTTATTCTAGATCTGCTCTAACAAAGCTTAAAAACCAAGCCTTGAAAGTATGAAGCTGATCTCCAAATTAATTGCCTGCCAGAATAAAGCCCAACACTCATTAAAGGAATTTTTAAAAATCAGCATTTAATAATGTAAAACTGCAAAGTCTGGAGTCCAAAAAAAATTACTAGACATGCAGAGAAGCAGGAAGACATGACCCATAAGCAGGAGAGAAATCAATGAAGAGAAAGAGACCCAGAAATGGTACCAGTGATGAAATTAGCAACCTTTAAAAGAGCTATTATTAATATGCTCAGTATAGTCAAGAACTGAAAGGAAAATGTGAACATAAGGAGAGAAATGAAAAATATCAAAAAATAATCAAATACTAACTTCTAGAAATGAAAACTATAATATATGAAATTAAAAATTCATTGGATGGAATTAACAGCAGACTAGACAGTGCAGAAGAAAAGGTTAGTAAACTTGACAACACAGCAATAATATACCAAATGAAGCACTGAGGGCGGTGGATGGGACTGAAAAAATTTAACAATGACTCAGTGACTTATAGAACAATATGAAGTGATTTAACATATATGTCTTTGGAGTTCCAGAAGGAGGTATGGGGGTAGAAAATATATTTGGAGAAATAATAGTTAAAAAATTTTTAATTGCTGAAAATGATAAAATCACAACTCAAGAAACTGAACCAACTCCAAGCAAGAGAGACATAAAGAAAGCCTCATCAAGGAACATCACAATCAAATTGCTTACAATCATTAAGAGAAAATCTTAAAAGCAACCACAGAACAAAAGGACATGTTGTGTTAGGAAGTAGAAACTATGAAAGCCAGAAGACAGTGGAGCAACATCTTTAAAGTGATAAAAGAGAAAAACTATTACCTAGAATGCTATATTGAACCAAAATACCTTTCTAAAATGAAGGCAAATAAAGACTTTTTTCAAAAAAACAAAGACTGAGAGAATTTGCCTCTGGCATATCTGTATTAGAAGAAATGTTAAATTAAGTCCTTTAGGCAGAAGATAAATGATACCATATGGAAACTTAGACTCTGCCAAGGTTTCTCACCCTCAGCACTATTGACACTTGGGACTGAATAATTCTTGGTGGTGGGGGTTGTCCTGGGCATTGTATAATGTTTGCAGCATCCCTGGCCTCTACTCACTGGATGCCAGTAGCAACTGCCTCCTCTCCCCAAATTGTGACAACCAAAAATATCTCAAGACATTGCCAAATGTCCCCATTTCCACCGTCCCCTTTTATCCAATAAGAAGCACTGATATATATACAAAGGAATGAAGAGTGCCAGAAATGACAGGGAAAGAGAATCCTAGATGAAGGTAATGAACGACAACAGTTTGACTTGCAAATAGAATCTCAATCTTTTGTTTCTTTATGATTCTCTTATTAGTTAATTGCTAACTAGTTGCTAATGAGCTACTTTGTATGCATAGTGAGACTATAACTCATAAGACAAGAGTAAAGAACAAAGAATTAAAAAACTGAAACAATACATACTTATTATAAAATTTTCAAAAAATATATAAAAGTAAAAAGAGGAAATTCATTATCCTGCCATCCAAAACAGTAATTGCTACATTTTGCTCTATGCCCTTCAAGTGATTTTTCTATACATACATAACCATTATTATGATACACACATATTAGCTTTGTTAACTAATATTACATAATAACACAATAATTCCTTATGCAAAAAATGCTTAAGGGCAGAACAATATTCTATCAACTATCATACTGTTTTTCTTAACCCTTTCTCCTATTATTAGACATTTAGGCAACTTCTATTGTTTCACTTTTATTATAATGCTGCAATAATAATCTTTATGGAAAATCTTTTCCCCCATGTTGTGTTATTTTCTTTAGAGATTTCCAGAAATATCTTCCCTACATCAGCCAACAATTTTTGAGGTCTCAGACTATCTTAGTCAATGTTATATTGCCTCATAATACCAGCACAGGGAGCAAATAGTAGAAACTTAGTTAATCGTTTAGTGACTATAACTAAGCTGAACTTAAATAGCTTAGGTCTCTAACAAAGAAGAACATTTCTGCAGACCACACTTGTGGAGAAATCCTACTCTGGCCAGAGGACATACAGAAAGCCAGCTTTGTTCATCCATTTCTACTAAATTCCAGATCTGTTTTTCAAGTTGCAAAATGACTGTTACCTGCAACAGAAGCAAAGGTAAGTTTTCAGGAGTGTACTCTCTTCTTAGGCAGCTCTCTAGCTCCCTCTGCATGACATCTGCTTGAATAACAAGAGGTTTTGACTCAGCCACCTGAACCCCAGGAGACAGAGCAAGGCAGACAAAAGGAAAGAAGGAAATAAAACCATCAGTGTCTACAACAGAAAATAACATACAATTTCTGATAGTTTTTACACAACATATTATGCTTTTATACCTAAGTTTCCAAATAACAACTTTTAACATCATAAATCAAGGAACTGTAAAGTTTAAAATGCTACAAAAATCAGGTATCTCCAAAGTATTGACCTGCTCTGATCCAGCAGTGAGCTGAATATTGAGCTGTTCTGTCTTTGTAACCACTATCACTAATATCAGCTGTTTGTTTGCAAAAATAAGCTTTTCTTGCTAAGAGTTTGCAACAAGTTAGCAAACTCTAACGTATCATTGTAATGAAATGGCCCACTCTCCTACTCACCTGCAAAGTTTTCTTTAGAGCCAGTTCCCTTTCTCTTCTAAAGTAAGAAATGTCCTTTGGTATTCGAATAGAGCTGCAGAAAAGTTTATGCAATAGAAGCTGTAATTATGGAAGCTATAATAGATCAGATTATAGACAGGCCCTGATTAATCTGTAACTCTTCACAACTGCTCATGTCTAAATAAGTATATCATATTATACAGATTGTTGGGGGCATGTAAAGGCTACATGCTTCTGTCTCAGTCGGAATCTCTCTGGTGCACACCTCATGCCTGCTACCCCTTTCCCTTGGCCACTTTTCCTCTCCTCGCCATGCAAAAGTGGTCTTTCCTTCTACCCCTGATTTACCTGTTTCTGACTCCAGAATTCAGGCAGAGGCACAATAGTGAGAATTTTTCTTTCCTCCCCCCGTATTTCCTTCAGTAACCTCATTTCTAACAACCACTGTGCTTATCATACCTCTATCTCACCCTAGTGGACACATGAAACCAGTATCTTGTCATTTAAACAAAATGTTTTTATTTTTGTGCTCTTGTTCAGTTATCTGGGGGGTGAAAATGGCCCGTAAATATCAAACATGGAATGCTTTGGAAATGATTTTAACCAAACTTTTTGATTTAGAAAAATTATTTATCCCTTAGAAAAAATGTAGCAGAAGTGCCTGCTTGAGCAGCTTCACAACTGCTGTCCAAGCCCAGTCACGAAGGAGTTGTTTGCACTGTGGGCTCTGACTCGAGGAGACACAAGCAGCGCTGCCCTGGGGCCTGATAAGAGGGTGGGACACTGGGCCAGGAAAAGGGGAGCTCTCCCCATTTGGTGGGGAGAGCTTGGCAGCTTTGGGAACATCGGGGAATAGTAACCACTGTGCAGGGGTCCCTTTCTTAAGATGAGACTTTGCAAATATTGGCAAGGGAGCCATTGGAGGTTCTAGAACACTGTGAGAAGCCACTTTGAGATCAGAGGAGGACTGTACGCAATAAAATTTAGGTTAACATTGCTCATATGACCTCATCAGTCCCCCTGGATAAGTTTTAAGGGAAGATGAAAGCATTGTTAGTCTGTATGCTTGCCAGCAGGTCCCCGCTGGAGGCAGCAATCCTAAGAAAAGAGCACCAGGCTGACAGTCAGGAGGCCCCTCAGCCACTTGAGCCTAAGCAACCCACTGAGCCATTTTTGTTTAATTTCCAGCTGCAGTTGGAGGTAATGCCTCCTTTATCTTCTCACATCTTGACTTTGATGGAAAAAAAAACCCCAAAAAACATCAAGTTCCAAGGGCCTTGAGGGTAAAAGCATTAATAATTTTCGTCATTACTGGGCACCTAAATCCTGGCTGTAGCCTCATGGAAGTGGAGAGCCAGTAACTAACTAGGACCAGCTACTAGGCGGTCAGGGAAACAGAAGAACCACATCCCTTCCCTGCCCTCTTATCTCCTAATTCTTTGGCAGGCTGGGAGATTGGATGGGGTCCTGGGCTTGGCTGCCCTGACCTTCTCTGCTCAGATTATGACTTTCTTCTCAATTAACCTCAAAGTGTCTGTGAATGGCCTAAAAGGGATTGGTGAACAAAAGTTGTGGGTACATAAGCCCACAAAGAGAGAGTCACTCATTTGTTCATCAAGCATTATTCATGTACTATACATTCATTCATTCATCTAAGCTTTCAGCAAGCATCTATGAAGCACTTAACAACTACAAAGACCTGGGCTTATGGGGGCAAAATGAGGGAAAGAATGAAAAGAATGAAAGGAAAAAAAGGAAAGAAAGGGAAGAAAGGAAGAAAGAAAGAAAGA